TTGATGGCTTCGAGAAGAGAAAAGGTCGGACAATTTCCATAATTCTCTTCTACGAATAATTCTTTCCTGAGGCGAAATGAGCGGCTGAGAGGTCGCTAATGCAACCTAATCGCCCAGCCGGTAATTGAGTTTTTCTGCTAAAAGCATTTTTACGCGGGAGAAATACGAGTTAACTTGATCATCCAGCCATGCTACACCGTGTTGGAAATCTTAGAATGCATCCCCCTGGGAACGGCAAACTTAGGGATAAAATAAAAAAATAAAAATAAAAAAAATTCCATCGGTTAGTCGACGCATGTTCTGTTTTATCAGGTGGGGAAAATTGGTGCTCGCCTACCTAATTCGCCTTGCAAAAAGACATTCCGGAAGAGATTACACTTTGATTATTTTCATTCCGGCTTCTTCCTCCCCCCTTTTTTTCTATAAATATATTTTTTTTCTTCTTACTTCTATAACTCTCCGCTTCCACTTTTCCCGAATTTCCACTCATCCCTAGAGTATGTGACGCCCCTAATCTGTTTTCTCACCCCCACGGCCAGGGGGCGTCTTTAATCCGATTTGCTCGCTCCCATAATCCTATTCGTAGTCGGTAACGGTTTGGGAGTATAAAGTTACAGGCGCAGGGTGGGCTCCGAGACTCCATTTGATTGACCCACCCATTGAATAACATCATCATCTTTTCCAGGCCGCTCCAGTGCCGAACAAAATCGAACCTACTACGGGTTCCGATATCGAATTATCTTCGGTACATCACTAACTTTATCATGTCTTTATCCTTTTTCCTCCCCCTTCCGAACACCGACGTATCCGGCGACACATTTATCCCGTCCTACCCCGCACTCCTTACACCCCCGAGACGTCACGCAAATGTCATTATTGTCACGAGTCAATCCGGGGTCAGGTGAAACTGATTATCGTCACCTCGTCACCCGTAATGGCCCTCGCTAATCTGGGATAAATAACATTGTCTCGTTATCCGAATTAATTCCGTTTACATCTCGAACCGAAAACTCCAAAAATATTCCAGTGAGTCCCCATCGAGTCTCGAGGGAATGTGCTTTTCTGCAGCGATCTACAAATTGATTTTTTTTTAAATATTTAGAAAAGCCGAATCAAAAACTGTTAGATAAGTCGTCACGCATCTTTTGAACCGACTTAAATGAATTTAAAATGGAGAAATACTCAAAACACCCCTGTAAGTTGGCTTCGCTTTACTCGTTTCAAGCACGTCTGCAGTGAAGGTCATCAACTAGAGACTGTCTATAATGTGAAAAACACGTGATCAAGCAACCACCCATCAGCTCTGGGGATTTACCCAAAACACAAGTTCTGAGAATATTTTTAAAGCCTGGAAAACTCTCCCGAGACACTTTTCCGTGCAGGAGAACCCCTTTTCTAATTCCTAACTTCATTTGTACCGTAGAACCACTCCCATTTTCCGCGGGAATATTATTTCTACAATGAGTTTTGAACTTAATGTTCATTCCCGAGGAGTCGACTCGTATAAAAAATAGTAGTCCAAGTTCTTAGATGGCCAGAATTCTTAAAAATTTCTCCGGAAGAGCTCGAATTTCGCTCTAAAATAGGGGAGGGAATATGTTTTTCCGCGCGCCTACAAATCAAAAAGTTAAAAAGATATTTGAGTGCTAAATATTGATAGGAGTTTATAGAGCCTAAAGAGGAGCCGACACGATTCTGGGAGATTCAATCGAGAATTGATTTCATCTTCCGACATACTCTGCAATTAGCATCATAATAGAGGCGTGACTGTTGGGGAAGCAAGAATAGCGGANGAATGGCTGTCATTTTGTTAATCTCTTGTTTATTGTTACTATCATCTAAAATACTATTATTATTCATTATATGAATGTTTTCAGTATTGGAATTAGGATCTAAATAGGATTTGTTACTATCTAATTCTTCAAATTCTGAAGAAGACAAAGTAGAAGACTGCAAACGTGGAATGTTAGATTGTCCTGTTTTATTAACAGAATATATCAAAGGACTGGGATAGCTTTTTATTTCTTGTTTTGTGGAAATCTTTTTCTTGAAATTAAGTCCAGTAGAGCTAGAATTTCTGCTGTAGGGAGTCGGCCTAGTTAGTCGGGAAGCTTCCTCTTGTTTTATAGTAGCCATTGAGACTGTAGAGTAACTGTAAGATCCCTCACTTGCCTTACGGGAATAACATGAGCCCATTCAGATGAATCACTTTCTGTAACAAAAAAATATATATATATATTATTTCTTAGAGTTTATATTAATACCGCAATTAGAATTTCCTGTAATTGTCATTATTTATAACTAATAAAAATGTTTTTCAGAAATTTTACAGAAAAAAAGCACTACTAAACCTACAGGAAAAAAAAACATTATTTTAAATTAAATAAGGCCTACTTATGACGTTATTGAGGCTAATACAATATTTAAAGGCCCCTTTAATAACTAATTTATATTACTTTTTGTTGCCAAAGAATTAAAATTCTCAAGTAAGCTGTCAAAAATTTTCCGAATTAAATTTGGAGAACTTAAAAAAGAAAAACAAATTATATATATCCTTTTAGTTAATTACGTGAGAGAAATTCTATTTTAAAAATGGTGTAATTTATGTAAATCAAATTCCGATAATTTTATTAAAGAGGAAAAAAGAGGGGAAAAAATCAGAAGTCAGTTAAATTAGAAGTAAATATCTTCTATAAGGAGAAAAGGAGATGATTCTGTAAAAGCTGATTTATCGAATTGGGATAATGATATTTCGGATAATGGCAACAGAGAAAGCAGATTCGAGAAGAAAGGTTATTAAGGTGATATTCAACTTTAAGTTAATACGGTAAAGAGAGCCGCTAGAATATTTCAAAGGAAAACCGTTTAACTTTAGAGATTTAATTAAAGAGAAAATGCTTAAAACAGATAAAATGCTTAATAAATTTAAAGCGGTGGAAATGTAAAATATTAGCCGCACTAGCGTAAATTTCTGTATAAAATATTGGCCTTTATTAACCTACTTTATTCATCCTGAAAGTTGTACAATTAACTATATATATATATACATATACACACATACTTTTCTATGTGCATTATAACGTCCAGTCCTTAAAGTGTTAAAAATTATCAGAAATTGATGGATGATAAATCAGAGTAATGTAAATGCGATTTTTTTTCTCGCTTTCATTATTATTAATTCTTCAAAAATTGGCAAGAATGAAACGTGGATATAAACCAAATCCGTTTATCGTAATTGAATTTGATAAATTTATAGACTAAATATAATTCTGGAAAAAAGAAATAAAGTATTTAACATGGTGAAATGCTTAACTGAAAATGATGATAACGTAAATTTGATTGGTGCAGTTTTAATGCAGCTTTCGTAAATTACTTCTGAAAGATCAAAAGACGAAGAATAATTCAGTGAGATCATCGAATCATTCTTCCCTTTGATCTAGAAAATTAATAAAACAATGCTGCTTACGTTCATCAATAATTTAGATATTTTTGCCTGGTGAATGCTTCTTGTGCAGAGTTTTTTTTAATGAGTTGTAAATTTCTTTACGACTATACCTTGATAACTATATATAGTTTCCGCTTAATTAAAACGACTATCAATCTCTCTACATGCTTTAACAGTTTATCTATACCTTTACTTTAGTAGAGATTGTTTATTCTTTCACAAAATAGGCAATCACTCACGCACAAATTACTACCGGGCTTGTGGATCAAAATAATTACATTTAAAATATGATCTTTTTGCTGTTACTTTATTACAAATTGAGCAATTATTATATGTATAAAAATGTATTGGCTAAGCAGATATAGCAAAGTTAATAAAAGAACAAGTAATGGACTAAGAAACTATTTATTTGTGTTAAAGAGCAGACAGACCACAAAGTTATGTAGCCAGGTAATAGAACCAACCACACAAGAACACAAGTCATGTTCTGTTGCCTAAGCTACAGAGATATTGGAATGATTTGGGGTGTACTTTGATTGTATCATTTGTAAATCATCCACAAATTACAACTTACTATTTTGTTGTTTCAACACAATTTAAAGCGTGCAAACAATTGAATTCTATAAAGAAAAGTCATAGAAATTTTTTTTTAAATTATTGGAAATATTAAGGAGATTTGTATTTAATTTTTGTCCTAAATATTATGGTTTAAAGCTTGTAAATTTGGGTTTTATGTCATTGTAAACATTTCCAGAGGATAAATTTTTTTAAAACCTTCTACTAAGTTATATTGCATAACCTTATTGAATAATCTAGTTAATGTATTTTTAATAAAAAATTATATAAAATATAAATGTTTTTTGTCATTATCTGAGTTTATATATTACTTAATATATAGACTTTTTTAAAATTAAAATTTATTTATTTGTTCTTTGAAACTCTAGAAACATTTTTCAATTCATCATTCGCTGTCTCTTCTATTCGTTTGCACTTACTTACTCACTATATTCTGTGATTGAATGTTGATAGAATTTTGTATACTATTTTATTTCTAGTTGTTTTGATTCTATATATTAGAATAATTCTAAACTTTTACAAAAAAAATAAATAAATAATAAGTGAATTTTCCATTTCAGTTTGTATCTCATCTCATAAATTTTTGAAGCACTTAGTTTTATTTCAATGCAGAGTGCTACTCCTTCAGATTTGATTCGGANTGTTTTATTATAAGTTTTAAAATGGATAATAATAATATTAGAAAGTTAAAAGAGTAAATTATAAATTATTTTTTTAAAAATAATTAAATTAAGATGGTGACGTAATATTTTATGACAGTTTTAAATTAATAATTAATTATTTTTCCTATTTTTGTATCAAAAAATGTATATTAATATTTATAATTATATATTTGGTAATTATTTAAATTTATTTTCTTCAAATACTATCAAAAATTTTAAACTATATCTAAATAAAGCAGTTTAATCGAATTGTTTTAATGAAATCCAAAACATTGTAATAATTTAATTATGAATTAATAATTTACCTCATAAAAGACTTATTAATAATTATATACAATTAGTTATTAATTAAATATAAAATATTTTATTAAAACGTTTCTCGATCGTCTGCTTTTTGTTATTTTTTCCTCCATCTTGAAAGTTCTGTTACTGGATTAATGAGGTTTGTTACTATTTTAATTTTAATATGTGATATTTCGTTTTAGAAAAGACCTATTTAACTGAAATATAAACTAAAAACGTTTCTATTAGATATGCTTTAGTAATTTTCTTGAAGATTTCAAATAAATTTAGTGAAACGAAAAAAATTCAACAAGTTATCATAGCGAATTTACACGACTTAACAGCGAAAACTTGCAATTAAGGTAAGAAATATATTAAATTCCTTAATTATATTTGAAAAAGTAATAAAATATGAAGTAAAATGTGTAAAATGACACAGGTTTACATAAAGGAAGCAAGTCACAGATTAGTCCGTAAGGCCTCACTCATTTAAGTTTATTTGGTGAGAAAGGGCCTCTTACGTTACAGTTTAATGTCTCAACAGGTCTCAATCCGTCGTTGATGTGAAAAATCTCTATTAAATCAAGAAATATCGATTAAAAACTGAAATTTATTTTTATAAATTTAAGCATTTTCTAAATTTCCTCTTAATTATGTTGTATATGTTAACTAGTATGTATATATTTATATAACTATGTTTTAAGTGACTATGATATTTGAATAAATATAAAACAAGTATTTGGTCAAACTTTATTTTTTCCTACAGTGATTCATTTTAAATAGCACCGCTGTATTGGAAGAGAACGATGAGAACAACATTTAAGATTTTCGGTTTTCGTACGGGTAAGGACGATTAATTTGAAAAGTTCCTACACGAATAGATAAAAATTAATATTTTCTTTTACTGTCATTTCACTGTTCATAAACACCACATCGCAATTGTCCAACATCCCCTCCGTGTAGAGGTTTTCACATAACTCTAAATACTGCATCTAATCTCGGATATATGGAGATACACTTGTCCAAAAGATGACTATACTGTCTAAGTGGCGTTGGGTTTCAGAATGGCAGATTGTAGAGCCTGAGAGTGTTCCCTCGCTTTCCTTCTTAGATCTGATACACTGGAAGAAGCTGGACTACGGGAGGTTACAACGGTGTGAGCTGGAGTACAGTGACCGATTGGTCCCCTGATGCAGCAGGTACATAAAGGCAGAGCTGAAAGAAGAAGTGAGATCTGAAAATAAGAAAAAATAAATGTACACATACACACTAAAAACTAAGCTCTCGAATAGGCCTAATAGCATTATCCCGGTAGCTTCGAAAGATTTTAGGAAAGTTCCTTAATCCAAAATAAATGAAATCATTATGCATTATTTATTTCTGGAATTTGATAGAATGCGTGCCTATTAATGTAATTATTTTTTGATAAATTTAATATTTGTAATGAATATTGACAATAATTAACTCGGACGTATGTGTAGCTTAAATGTTACACTCAACTCCGAAATGAATTAAAGAGGAGAAGAAAAACGTGTAAACTAATAAAATAAATCGTTAAAAATAATTAAAAAATAAACATTTCATCAAGTCGATATCAGCCATAGTGTTAAATTTAATTACAATTCGTCAAAATTTAATTTAAAGGAATTATAATTAGATAAGCAACAAGTTAGGCGACACTCTCGAGTAATTACATCAAGCAGCGGGGTCAATAAAAGTAATATAAAACATAGTGTAATCAGTGTGGGTCTACGTATTTGATTGTCTGATCACGTGATCATATTCAGTATTGGACGATCGCCCTTCTCCATAGTAATAGATTGCGACGAAAATTCGAAGTGATCTGTTAGTCGAATCATGTTTACTGGAGTTCGCAGTCCGGTTCTGATGGAAAAATTCTCCAGCAACAAATTACTGTCTGGCAATGCTTCCAAGATCTACTTAATCCGGCGGTTTGGCTTAAGTCGCTTCCATAAGTGTAATTCCAAGTCCCTGTTCGACGTCTTTGCATTTCTCATTACACTTCGGCCGTAGATGTGAATCTGTCTATCGGACACCGTTAGCTTATATGCGATTGGAATAGGGAGTCTCGCAACATTTAGGGAAGTTGTCAACGCCCATCAGACGTCGACAGTAACATGATTGGAATCGACTGGTGATGGATGCTGCTTTGATTTTCTTATATCCGGGTGTTCGAGAAGAGAGTAATGCGAACCAGAAAAGAAGATAGCCAGGCGCAACATGTTAAACAATCAAATAAATGACACGGACGCTTGACGAGATACCTTTTACTATACGATGCTTTGCCTTTCTACTGTCATTCTCTTTTCTAAAGCAGTAAATGCTCTTACTGTTATCGCTAGTGTTATATTAGTTCATTGTCCATTAGCAAGAAAATATTGTGAACGTTATTAACTTTTTAAAATAAAAATTTATTTAAAATTACATACAGGCTATTCCACTAAATTTTTATTAACTTCTAAATGTTAATTAATTCCCTCGAAAGCATAATAATATATCTGAAATTTAACAAATTTATTCTCTTGCAAATTTCTTAACAACGCATTAAAATATAACGGAAAATATTGCACTATCTTCACATTGATCCATACATTTGCATTTACAAATATTTTATAAAGCTACAACTTTTATATTTACTGATAAACCATTGCTCATAATTCAATTAAGTTAAATTACTATTGAGAAGTTAATATGTTTACATTGGATAAGCAGACATAATATAAGTAGGCTACAATACGTTACATGAAATAATAAGAAATATAATATAATATAATATACGTATAATGAAAAAATAACTAAGTTCATCGGGCGACAAACACAAACATAAATTCTTTTCTTTTCTTACAGAAAATTAACTAAAAACGACTTTATGGAAGCATAAAAATGAGGTTTTATGCATGTATGCAAATCAAGATCTTTCACTATCATATATTAAAAATAAGTAAAATAAAAAATCACGGAGAAAATGTATTTTAANTATAACTGAAATTTAAAATATATATATATATATATATATATAAATTATTCGAATTTTTTTTAAATTCAATCTGTTTTTAATAGTAATATTTAAATTTAGAACAATTAAGTTCATTAAGTATAGTACAGTAATTTAAATATGTTAAGTTCAAATACTTCTTAGGCCTACTCTCGAACTCGTTAGTACAAAAGTTATAAAATTTTAAATTATTAAAAATAGACATTCTTTTAAATAAATTTAACTGCTATGTTTGGCCTATGCTCTTTGATATGAATTCATAGCTATTTATAAGCATAATCGATAAAGTATCAGATTTAAATCTACTTCCGTAATTATTCGGTACCATAATGAAAGGCAGTGAAATGAAAAATCTATAATTATAGCAAAATTTATTTTATTATAAGTTAAATATAAAAGATATAGACATCAGAATTTGTAAAAATATAAAATAACCGTACTTGAAAGTCGTCGGTTCTTAATAATTTTGTATAAAAACATTAGCTTATTTAAACAATAATTTATGCAAGATAAATATCATACTAGACAGATATTTAATTAACGATAACAATATAAGTAATTGGATATACCTTTAATAGGAAATGTCGGCGGACCAAAATGGTGGCTGAGATGAGTGGGAAAGTAAATTGGTGGAAGTGGAAATCTAGCATGGGTAGATGGGGATAAAATTCCGTCCATTCCCGACTGAGAACCTATGGATCTACGTAAGTATATATAAATATAATATTTTAATATTTCATACGATTTACTCAGTTTTAAAAATCTACGTAAGACCATACCCGTCTCCTAGAGAAGAGAAAAAAGGCGGTCTCAAAGACATCCCCAATGACGTAGGAGGTGGTGATGATTCTTTATTATAAGCAGCATCGGATAGAACCAGGCCACCGTTTTGACCAGCGTACCTATCTCCCGCTTCGCCCTCCTCAGTGGCAGAATACACTTCGCTTCCTTTACTGTCGGCATCTCTGACGTTGTCTGTTGGTCCTTCTGAACCCTCTTGACATCTCTTTTCTACTTCGTCTTCCCCTTCTTGGATACAAACGTCCGTATTATCTTCGGTGGATTTCTCGAATTCTTGTTCATCGCACTTCTCTTCGTTTCTTCCCTCTTCATTCTTATCTCTTTCTAATTGATTACCTTCTCTCTCTTTTCGCAATCTTTCGGCTTTTCTCCACTTAGCCCTTCGATTTTGAAACCATACCTATGTTTAAAGAAGCTTTGTTACGACTGTTAATTTTCTTTGAACTTTTGATAATTATCTAACAAATGTTCATTTTCGAATATTTTTAATTTCAATCGAATATAAGATTGAATTATAATTTAAGACAAGAGAGGAATTTTTATAATTTGAATGAATTTAAATAATTATGACCAAAGAAATTTTATACAATAAGTTATTTAATATTAATTTGGAATAGAATATTCTGATTACCTTTATAGAAACTGTATAACTTATACAGTTTTTATATTAATTATTATATTTGATTTCTAACTACAATAATTTATTAAAATTAGATGTATCGGAATAGTTCGAACTCTCAGTGCAATAAATATAGTTACGATGGCTCTATAATTTAGGCCTAAAGGAAGTTGAAGAGATATAAATATAATTTTTAATGAAATCAAACTTATTGGATATAATTAATAATATCGAAAATGGCAGTAAATTGAATAGAAAATCTTGATTTAACTAAAAAATATTTTTAAAATATCTGAGTTTACAAGTAGAGAAGAAAAACTTAAGCCATTACGATCTTTTTCTAAATTTTAGAAATTCTATTTAACGATTGCACATCTCACAGACGTATTGTACAGTACACGTTAATTCAAATATTTTATAATTAAACCTAACATATGTAAATATACGGTTTTATTTTAAATATATGCTTTATATTTTGCAATATTTATAGCATACGCTTGTTTATAAAGCAATTGAGATTCCATTGAATTTGTTCTTATATTAATGAAAAAAATGAATATTTAATTATAATTACACTAATTAATCATTAAAATGCATTAATGAACACCTTTCTGTACTTTTCAATTAACTTTAAGCCATATTAGGTTATATCAATCCATATAAGTTATATTGAAAATTGTTAAATATTCGGTGTGATAAAATATGATTTGCCAATTAGTTCGGTGTCACGGTCATTAGAATTTTGAATCTTATTCATATCGAATGAAACATCTAAATATATTCATAAATTTTATTATTTATTCATTCTATCTTAACTTTACAAAATTCACTTATGAAAGGAATAAAGATTTGTGAAATTATTTTCAAATTGAGATTGATTTATTTAAAATTCGGGCTTTAAAATTTTAAATCAGTTTATGATTTTTACATATTATTTTTCGAATGTCTCACCGAATACGATATTCTTAATAGAAAACTTATTTCCATTCAGTTTTGTAAATATTCTAATATTTTAAAAAGATTCTACTCTAGACAAAACTACTTTACAAAGTATGTTCACGCATATTTACGCCTGCCCATGATAGACTGTTTGATAAATTCCTTTATATTATATAAGTTCACTATCATACAGGGTGGCCAAACAGTATTCTATTATAAAGATAAAATTGTTGTCTTATTTGAAGAAGACAACAATTTTGTCTTTATAACAAACGTTTTACAAACTTTACAAAACTTGTTCAAAATGACATTCTTCTTGTTCAATAAAAAAATTGCAGCACTTTAACTGATTAAACTTACGATTTATATTTACAAGTATAGTCTGTATGGGATACGCTAACGTTACTTGGTTAACTGATTTTTGAACTATTCTGCATGATCTCATCGTATCTGTTAATAGAAAATACTGGGCGTTTTTGACGTTTACAATGAGAAAAAATTATATACTGGATTTAATAGTTCTGTTTCTGTTTAGAGAGATTCTTGATCAGAGTTTTTAAAATATATATTAATTAACTTTGATATAAAGATATACTTTTATTAATATCATATTAGAGATAACAATAAGAAAAAGTTACGTTAATAACTTCGTATTCATAAAAATTGTTGGTTATAAAGCCACAAAAACTAATTACTACATAAAAGTGTTAAATGGCACCCAAACTACAAAGAATATGCCGCATAATTGTTCATCTGATTCGATGAAGAATTAAATAAACTCTAAGTTCAATCGCAACAGAATATTTATTTTTCTTATTTTAAAAATAAGTCGGTAAATAATAAAAAGGAATAACATTTCAGTATAATACCGATATTTTTGTTACTTTTAGCTCAATAAAATCTCGTTCCAGTTTAGTATATTTTCTTCGTACAAGATCTAGATTCGACATTAGCATTTCAGAATTTTGTTTTTCCAAAATTTTAAACTTAGTAAGTTATGAGTTCAAGAGCCGAGTCGAAATCTTATTTGAGAAGATTCGGAGCAATTCCGAATTCCTACAATCAAATAGAGTATGTTTATTAAATATAGGATTGGCTTCTGGATATGAAACAATATCATATGCAAATATTCAAAATTGAAAGCATAAATTCTTTATAGAGTCGGATATTTCAAAAAAATGCGATAAGTCCAATAAAAATTCCAAAAGCTTAAAATAAATCTAAAGAAAGAGGCTTACGTGCGTCATTATGTGATTCGATAAATACAAAACTAGATTTTAAATCAACGTATTTGTTAAAGTTTGATAGTGGAGTACCACTCTATAAAAAATGGTGTTTCATAACAGAAATATTTAATTTCTTTAAAACAATATTTTATAAAAGTATTTCCAGAATTTAATAAAATAGTTGTTCTGTAATAATGTATATTCATTTAATAAAATCTTATTCTCTTTTATTTTATAAACAAAATAAAACATCAAGTTTTATGCTAAAAATATTTAATTATGATAACTAGATTTATAAATTTAAACATATAGATTATTTTAGAGACTTAGATGAATTAGTTAGAACCACAACGATGCTTTAATGTCAAAGATCTAAGCTGAATTTATATCTGAGAAAAGGGAAGATGCATTTCTCATTAGTATTTAGCTAAGTCCAAAGCTAACACGAGCCAAATCTTGGTGGAAATCATGTCTTGACGTCGGGAAGGATGAGTAGGGAAATGGTAGAAGATTAGGATACGAGTTACCGACTTCCCGTGGGACAACGGTCCAATCTGGGTCTAGACAGGACTTTCCATCATTCGCTGTACCTCCTCCGAGTTTAGATCTCCCTTTACTCCCATGTGTTAAAGAGCATAGAATGATATATATTTACCGTTCTTTAGTCACCCAACAAGTGAGTAAGTATTTGATTTAAACACGAGTTTAAATTTATTTCAAGGGATACTCTACAAATGGGAATTAACTAATAATTTTCCTCTTTTTTCTCTCTTCTTTAACTATTAATTTTTTATACGATTTCTTTTTTACTCTAGTATTTCGAAAGGAGCTTCGAATTTAATATATATATTTCAAAATTTTAAAGTACAGTACATATTTCAAAGATATATATA